CACAGCTGCTGTAGGGAGGAGGGCGGGAGACAGCACACATCATCAGGTCTCGCCTGTGCTTGGCACAGGTCCCAGCTGTGCAGGAAGGAACTGAGCAGCTGCACAACCTTTGTGCTCCTTCATTTCCTCAGGGCTGGCCTAATACCTGATCACAAACTGGATCAGTCCCACAGCAGAGCCACTCAGCACAGGGTTTGCCAGGTTGCAGCAGAGCTCTGGTTAAGTGCCACCTCTTGCCACACCAACCCCAACATGTGTTCAGTTCTCCTGTAAGCAGATCTGTGGTCGTTTTGCATTACTGCAGCAGGGCAAAGGAGTAGAGGTTATGTGAGGAGTGGACTCCCACCTTTTCAGTGAATATTACTTTGTCACCACAACTTGGATGCTCAGCACTGTGTTTCAAAGTGGAAAAATGTCCCTTTGACTGCTTTGCTATCCTCAACAATACAGGGGTGACCTAACCTCCAGGGAAGGCGATCACTTGCTTCCTACACCGATTATCTCAGACTGCTCATGTTTGCTAATGACCTAAGAAGCCTGTTAAGAAGGCAGAGTAGCACTGGAGAAATTACAAATGAAAACATCACACAAGCAATATTAACACAGAAGAGTGAGCATTTAACGGTGACTGTTTTAAAAACGACCAATTGTGGTGGAAATGTGCCTACTTTCAAGGAGTAGTCAGTGCAGCATGTGAATTAAGATAGGTAGAATGAAAATGATTATCTTCCAAGTCAAGGAGCCATTCACATGTTCAGCAGGATAGCTTTAGCAAAGAGCTAGCAAATTGCTGATTTTTAATTTTTTTTCTTAATATCGTCAGACAGTTCTCTAATAGCTGGTTTTATTTGCTTGTCCAGTTCTCATGCAGCAACAGATAGGGAGGCTGGTGCAGTACGTCCAGCTTCTACACTGGTGGCCTTCATCCTTAAGACAAAATGGTACAGTGATACAAGTTCATTAACCTGATTTTTCTTCTTTGTCAAAAAAGATTTTTCTTTTTGACAAAAGGTCCAAGACACTTTCTTTTTTTGTCCTTCAACTTACACTTCTGATAAAATCTCCACACCTTTAGGACGGGCATGGTTTAACACTATAATGTAAAGGTCACAATCACAGCAATTTATTTATTAAATTTAAGAGGAATCTTGATTTTTAGAAATGCTCTTAGTGACATAGTCTTATAAAATTAATAGAAGCATCTGAAACAGTCAGCAACATTACGTCCTTAAGGCATTTGCTCATACTAGTAGGTTACTGCTTTTGAAAATGTACTTATGCTGAGTATGTTAAAGCATGATCTTGTATATAAAACTTCCAAACAGCATAAAGCAAATCCAGGTTATTCTTGAACTTCCCATGTAGCCTGAACAGATGAACTCAGAGCTACTGACTGGGACTATGAGCTAACAGAAAACTTAAGTCTTAAGCATGTAAATGTATACTCAAAGCCTCACTGAACTAGGTCCTGAAAGCATTATGTCAGCTGTTCTACTGAATAACACTCAGTTAGGAGGCTGACATACGCATTTTGGTCCATTGCTGTTTTCAAAGAACAATGCCCTGCTTTGTGACACTGTACCAGAAAGCCTTACTGACTCACCACTGTAACAAACTAACATCTTAGTGATAGGTTGATCAAGAACTCAGTAGTAAAGTCTGGTCTAGAGCTGCAAACTGTGAGACACACAGACATGCACAAAATCTTCAAAATGCTTGAGGGCGTGAGTAATGCAACCCAGCAGGCTGCCCCAAGGTCATGGCAACTCCACCACCTGCATCTTCAGAAAAGGCCCTGAGCAACTTGATATAGCTTTGAAATTAGACCTTTTGTGGGCAGGAGGCTGTACAAGATGATGGTTTTGTGGTTCTCTATTTGAAATCCAGTTAATGACACAATCTTTTCTATTTACTGTTCTTGTTACTTTCAGAATTGCTGCTTGCATCTCAGACTAGTGTAGTACATTTTGCAAAATGAACATATACACAATTTATGTGGTTGGATTGAACTTTATATGCTTATTGCAGAATCTTATGACTAACAGTGAAGTAAATGTCCTTACAGCGCACATTTCCTATATTGTCTACTGAGAGGAGCACAGCCACGGAACAATAGAACTCACCTCAAGTCTGCTAAAATTTGGTTAAATGATGGCACTGAGATTCCTTAAGTGAAATCTACATGTGTGCTTCTGTGTATGAATGCATAGATGTGCATGCACCCATACTCCACTTGAACTTTACAAGCTCTAGTTAATATTCACAACGGCCCTGTGACTTGTTAAAAGTGGAAAAACTGAGGCATAGAAAAACAATTTTTTTCCTAAATAAACCAGAAAACAAATAGCAGAATGACTGGAATACACTTTACACTTACTTACCATAACAGCTATCTAATCACCTTTCATACATACCTAAGTGAAGGCACACGTGACGCCTTATGAACCACACAATACAGGATTGTATTGTCCAGTCATACCTCTAAGGTCCATGAAGCTTGAACAATCGAACATGATGGACTGGAGCACAGTCTCTGTAGTGACAGGGGATCCTGAGACAATACCTCTTTGTAGCTGTGTCAGCTTCTGTGCTTAAGACGATAAACTGCTGAGTGAGGCATTTTCTTATATGCCAGGCTGAGGCTTTTTGTGGCTTTTACACATCTGTTTTCTCTCTCAAGAACATTGTAAAAAGTAAATTGGACTCTTTGTTGGTACACTTGTCTGTGTACTTCTTTTAGAAGCAAAATTGTAAGTTCCAAGCAAGTCAAGTTATAAATTTGTCAAGCTGAAAATGGACACTGATTTGGTTTCCTTCCTATTTGTGCTAAGTAAAAAACATCAACAAGAATTAAAGAATTGTTAATGGATATTCCTGGCTGGTGACTGGTTATGGCCTTCTTAATCCTTATAATTTTAGTAGCTGAGCTGTGCCTAGCTGGTCTTCTGGACTTTCATTCATAGTCAAAATAGAAAACAGCAATTCTTCTTTCCTCTATGTACTTAATGCAGCTCACAAAGTAACAGCCTGTAATGAGAAGGCTCCCATGAAAGACAAGTTAATGTGGTATCTTCACCTTTGACTTAAACTGATTTTATGCTCTAGTCTGTAATGTACTGCTTCATTTTTAATACTAATTTCTGAAAATCTTAAGTAATGCAGGATGTCTTTCTGCCTGCTTATTACTCCTTTTCCTCTCTTCCAACAGATGGATGAGGCATTTTATGCTGCCCTCGGAAGGAGGCTGGAGTCTTTCCACAAGCACCAGACTCTCTGAGAGAGACTCATCCTTCAAAGAGCACTTAAGGATGTTGCTACAGGCCTTCTGGAAGCCTCCCAGACTTTCTGCAGGGTTTTTTTTTTTTTTTTTTTTTTTTTTCCCTACCTTTTGCAACATGAGCAGTAGAGTTTGTGCATGTCTTGCTTGTGTTCTTGGGTTTACCCATGCAATTGCTTCTGATGACTATTGATTTGGGTAGGTTCTTTTCTGAGATCTATGGTCAACACAGAAGAGATTGGAAATTTATTTAAGGGCATGGGATGACAAAAACAAAACTGTGAGATAGCCCAGACCACCACACAGTGCACTCACTACTCTGTGAGTTACTGCCCACAACAGATTCTTCGGCACTGGGTAACTCAGGCTTGCTCATCCTTTGGTTACCCAACTCATACTCCTCTGTAATACAGACCTTATTTCACAGCATCAAGAGTCTTCCAAAAGAACTAAAGGGAAGTGCAAGCAAAGCACCAGATGTCTAGGTGCACCAGAGGCACTGGAATATTAGTTTCCACATATCAGACCCCTGGCTCAGCCCCATCTCCTGAGGCAGAATGAGAAGCTTCACTTCCTTCCTGTGGGAAGAACAGAACATGCTCACTGAAAAGAGTAAATTGAATTACACAAGCTGTAGTTATTTTCATTCTTCACTGGTTCATTAGTGTGATTGTTAAGCTGTAAATGACTAGGCTGGCTGCTTGACTTCCTATCATTCTGAAATAATTTAAAGGAAGATTCATTTTATCAGTTGTCCGTACAGTACCATGTAAAAAAGTGCCACATAGTATTTGTTAAATTAACTAACTGCTGCTGAAATGTCAGACAATGGGGAGAAGAACAAAATAAATGTCAGGTCTAATTATTATTGCTGATTTATTTCACATCTGCTTGCAGGAGCCATACTCCGAAGTGGATCCCTTTTAAGTGCTGAAGGCTGGGTGAAAGAGTTGGCATAGCTTCTAGTGAAAGTCACGTCACAGTAAACTATGTATGTATATTGAGCATTAAGCAGTCTCCTGCTAGAGATTCTTTCTGGTCAACAAGGGACCTTCAGGTAGTGTCAACTGGGAATGCCTGTTGCTTGCATGTGACCCTTGAATTACAAAGACATTCTAACAAAACGTTAGTCTTCAGCACTTCGTGGCTATTTGTATCTGGCCCCCAAGATGGTGAAAAAATGGCTTTTTTGAATGGTTTTCCCCTCAAGTGGGTGCATTGTATCAAATACAGAAATGCAGTTCTCATTACAGCATTTGAATTATGCTCTCTGTAAATAAGCAGATTTACAGCTTTTCTTTCTCTTTGTTCACATACATAAACTATACCAGCAGTGGAAGCTGGCAAAGAAGAAAAGAGGCTAGGAAGAGCTGGCTCTCTCTCTATGTGTAGGACATTTTACAAACTGGCAGCTATTCATTTGATTCAAGCAATTGTTCAAACTCTGTTTCTGAGGCGAGATAATAGATTGGTATTTTACAGAATTGCCAGATTTTACCTGGTAGTAGCAACTTTGTAATGTGTAGGGATCACAACCAACAACTTACACATAAATTCTATGGACACCATCACACCCTCCAGTTACTTTGTCCTTCTCTTCAACCAACAGATCTGCAGGGGATTGTGTTGGATGCTGTTTAATCAAAGAATAACCAATGTTTCTTCTTGGAAAACCAGAATGACCAAGTTGCTCCTGCATCAGTAATCGCACACGTAATCGGAATTCTTGCACTGAAGCTTTATTAAGCATCATTTTTTAAAAAAGATTCATGGGGTGAACTTCTTTCACCACTAGAGGGACAAACTGAAAGTTAGAAAGTCACAGTGTTTTGTCACTTTCACAGTGGGAATGCTTTCACCAGGAAGTAAACAAGTTTCAAGCCTCACTTAACTTGCAGGCAGCAAGAGCCTGAAGTGAATACACATACTGAAGTATAAACTTCTTGAGCTATTTATTTCAGATGATGCTGGAACTGGAGAAAAATGTTTTGTAATTTATTTGATTCTGCTAATCCTTTGTGAAGATCACACACTTTCCAGTGACATTACACCACGCAACATCATTGCCACTTTAGGGGGACAAATCAAGTTCTTGAAGCACAAAGTTTTTTAGCCATTGAGAAGCTATGCTTCTACCTTTGTAACCTGGCAAGTTAAAGCTGCAAAATATGACTCAAAGATCGCAAAGGAAACCCCACTGAAACAAGTGAACTAGTGCCAACCAACACAGATAACAAAAGAGATGGAAAACTGCATCATGTGATAGACACTTTGCTGCCAACGACTGGAGTGCTCAATTGACTGGGCCTAGACCATTCTCTGCAAAGATGGCATGAATGTTTGCTACTGCTTGCCTTCCATTTCATCCACCACAGGAATTCTCATCTACAGGGATAGTATTTACTTCCATTTTCAGGATTAAAGCAAAAAAAAAGTGTATTTATTATCAAAAGAGCTGTTTTGCAAGGTTGATCAATTCTTCGTTTCTTCAATATCCACACATATCACAGACTCATAGGATCCTGTTCAAACTATTGGGGATCTGGGGAGTCATCCAGTCCCCTGCAGTGAGCAGGCTCTGCCATGGGCTCAGGATAGCTCAGGGCTTTACCCAGCTGGGCCCTGAAACCCCACAGGCTGAAGAAGGCCCAAACTCCCTTTGCCCTGTCCCTACCACAGGGCTGTCCTGGGGCAAAGCCTTTTCCTTAGCTCCAGACTTAGCCTGTCAGGCTTTAGCTTGTGCTGCTGCCTCTCACTTCCCCCCCCCCCCCCCCCCCCCCCCCATCCACACACACACTGCTGTGAAATGTCCAGCTGAGTCTCCTCCATCGCTTCCTGTTGCTGCCAGGAATGTTGCTGGGTGCCACCAAAGCTGTCCCTTCTCCAAGCTAAACCAGCCCTGGTCCCACAGACTCTCTTCCCACCCCAAGGGCTCCAGTCCAGGACCATCCTGCTGGCTTAACATGGCCATGTTTATCAATATCCTTTCTCTGTTGGAGGCCCAGCATAAGTGGCCAGATGTAGTCAGATGAGCACTGAGAAGAGTGGACAATCCCTGCCCTTCCCTGGCCTGCTCACACCACCATCGTCACTGCTGATCCTTGCTGCTGCCTGGCCCCAGGCTGCATTCCTGCAAGGCTCTGCCTTCCAGCACAGAGCTTAGCCTTTGCCCATGCTGGATTTCACTGCACCGCTGTCAGTCCCTTTCTCCTACCTGAGCAAGTCCCACTAGAGCAGCAGCTCTGCCCTTGAGTGTATTCAGTGGTTCTGCCCCTAACACCTATTTATCCTCCATGTGCTTCTCAGAGTTCCTGATACATTGGACTGACTGACTCCAGGATAGACCTCATGGTACCTCATTTGTTACCCACCTCCAGGTGGAACCCAACCCCTTGGGCACAACCCTCAGTCCTAAAGTTTTTACCCATATTATTGTCCTCCAATGCAGGCTGTAACATCCCAATTTGGACAGAATAATATTGAGAAAGTGTTGAAAGTCTAAAGGCAAATATAGGGGTTGATCATGTGCTAGTACCTCTATGAAGTGTGTGTGGAGTTGCATCATTAAGTTTTACTACAGTGGTAACAGTACCCTGGCATGAGGGGAAAGCCTAAATTAAGAACACAAAGACTTTTCCTTAACCACCCCTCACTAAATAAGTTACTTATATTTCTAAGTCCCCATGAGGCACAGCCTTCTAAGCACATTTGCAATCCAGGCCTGCGAGGAATGAACAATCTCTTAAAGCACATACTCTACTGTTGAGTTCATGAGCTAAAAACTGCAACCACAACACATTACACAACTACCAAATCACAGGCTAACTTTCTTGAACTAGAAAGTCTTAAGTCTTAGGATGGGTAAGTTTTTATATATTTAAGCCCTCCCCAAATGAGTAAGTTGCTCAAACAGAACCATCACTGCTCACTTGCAAACATCCACAAAAGGGACCTTACAGCCTGCACCACTGCTTCTAGACTGTTATGGTGTTTGCTGTATTCAATGCTCAGCCTTTCCAAGAGCTCTTTCAAGAATAAGTACTTTCCACTGGAGGAAACAACTGTTCTAAATGTTAAGTTAATCCTTTCAAGTCACCGTCCTAGTATTTGTGTTTTAAATCTAAGCAGTCAGCACAGTAAAATATTTCCCTGTATTTGAATTTTGACTCCAAGAAAGCACATCTAGAGAAGGTGGGGAAAAATCCAAAACCTCCTTAGCTTTAATACAGAGCATACTGCCACAGCAAAAAAGTATATTTGGTTTTACCCGTCACTGGTCTTGATCTAGTGCATGGTGTTTCCTATGCTCAAAAAATTCATTATAGACCAGAGAGTGGCTTAGTTAAATTAGCCTTCAGTAGGCTATCCAGATTGTGATGCTTGGGGTTTTTTTTCCATATACGATATGAAGCATTTTCCATGGCTTGACAGAGGCGTGTAAGTGTTCTGACTGGGGCTGTGCAGGCCAAATTAAGACAAACATGCTTTCCACAGTCTTTATTTTCAATGTTCAGCAGCCTACATATTCAGCAACTGTGACTTCACACCCTCTCTGTCCCTTTCCTGCTCTTAAAGACCTTTTTCATTTAGTATGGGCATACTTTGAAGCTTTTTCAGAGAAAAGTAAGTAGAAAACACCAAGCCAGGAATATATTGACTTCTGCAGTTCACCAGAACAGACCTCTTCAAGCACCTTCTCCCAGTGACAATACTAAACCCTGCTTTGAGCCAGCTCAAAGGAGGAATGGGAGCATGTTTCTTCATAGGTATGATGTGGCATATCTACAGAAAGTAGTGGCAGGCTTTCACTTGCATCCAAGATTATGGAATGAAGAGTGCACCTGCAAGCTTTTTCCTTTATCTGAGGTCTCTCATCCCATTTCTTTGAGCTTGAGTTCTTGTCTCTGTCCCTTTTCCTAAACCAGCAAGATTCAGCACTTACATAAAAAATAGATAAATAGATCTTAATTGTTTCAGCAGAGATCTGATAGCAAGAAAAAAGAAAAGGTATGTCCATTAAAAATGTAAGCAAATACAAGTTGGGTTGGGAAAAGGCACACTGCAGCTATCTGTAGCAGAATGAGGGACAGAAGGGGGAGAAGTGAATCACATGACAAACTTCAATTCCCTTATGTTCATTTTCCTCTGTTTTTGCTGGCACTGTAGATATTTCAAATTATTGCTCAAAGGCAGATCAAATAGGAGGCAGGAAAAAATGTGGGAGCAAAGGGACAGCATTAAGAGAAATCTCAATATTTGTAAGGGAGAAAAAAAGCCAGTTGCAAAACTAGCTGTGCACTCACACTGGCTAGCAGGTGCAGAACAGATATAAGCAGTATTTAGAACCAAAGGGCTTTTCATTCAGCTTGGAAAAAAAATTATGCCATTACCTTGAATACTACTTCAATAACCAGCTAAAGCCATATTTATGTGTCTGTTAGTAGCAAATTCTTCAAGAGGAATATACAGCCAGCTGAGCAACGAAACCTGACCAACCAAGATATTAATGTCCCATTGCTCTGGAAGTCCATGAGACCACAAGCGGAGCAGCTGAGATGAGGATGATCTCATGATCTCCAAGACTTCACTTAGTGGCCACAGTACAGTCACAGGCTGCTGCTACAGTAATGTTCAGTACAGCTATACGACCTTCATTAGATGCCAAGACAGACACATGACAGATCAATAAAACAGAGTTAAACAGTTGCAGATGGCAAGGGAAAAAATTTGTTCAAACAGTAAGGCATTTGTCTATGCAAGTTGGAACTGTTTCTACAGAAGGAATCCCAGACTACTCTCCAAGCCTGCTGTGGAAGTAAACAACAATTTCATAACACAAAAATGGAGGGGAGGGCAGAATAATCCTAGTGAGATTAAGAACCAAACAATATCTTCAACTAGGTACAGTACGTCTTGTATCACTTCCTACTACTGCCTGGTATCTCCCACGCCTCCTCCTTCCCACTATTTGAAGGCATAGAAGTTTTATCTGGTGAAGTGTTAAGTCTGCTATAGACTAAAGAAACTACTTTTGCCTGCCAAGGTGCTATTCTGACAATTATGGTCAACACACAGGACTGAAGTCAGAAAACAAGTTCCTAGAGACCCCAGTTTCCCCAGGAACTAACTCAGGTTCACAAAATAGATCTAAGTTGCTAATTAAACTGAATTATAACCTTGGGAAGAAGTGTCAGTATCAGTCTACTCCACATGCCCTTTGGAATGATACCAGTGACAGCAATGAACTGCAGCAAAAAAAAAGAACCGTTTATCTTCTGCACAGAGACTGAAAAAGCAGAGCATTTTGCCTGTACATAGCTGACATACAAATTTAAAATCAACAAGCTGAACGACAATTATATTTTCTGGCATTTCAACACAAGTACCTTGCAGCATCCCAAGTTATATATCTAACTGAAAAAAATATAATTCTATCACATAACTAATAATCCTTACATATTAGGCTTATATGAAAAGCACTTTATCCCAGAAAGTACTTGGCAAAATATAGTACTCTTGGACAGAACTTTAGAGTTCTGCCTACATTCTAATCTTCATAAGACATTTTAGTCCACATGTATTCCAGATACTGAAAATGTTTACAGCCAGACAAGTGTTGCCAGGGATAGCTGGCTAGAAGCTTCAACTCCCCAGAGTAGCAAGCTAGCTAGAAATGATTTCTTTAAGCCTTCAGAAGCTGACAGCTGTCCTCATCTGCCAAGAAAGAAGTCCACAGTACACAGAAGACCATTAAGAAAGCAGACTTCAACTGGAACTGCAGGGATAAATTGCACTAGAACCAAGCCTAGGAACTGACTCAAGTTCTGACAAGATTTTTATTATTACTATTTTAGACATGATTAAGAGCGATTTAACAAATCATCACTGAACCATAGGCAGGAGATTTTCACTTCTTCCAAACTATCTAGCTTTGAACCTGCATCCTTTCTTCTTCACCTTGAAGGGGAAGATCAGAAACAGTGAAGTAGCACCTCCTTCTATAGTAGTTACAGGATGGCAATTCAAGGCCAAGATCCCAGTGTCAGGGGAAGAAACCACAACTTTATCCCAGAAAAATTATTTGTCATTAAAGAAACTATTAAGGGTTAGGGAAACTACACTGTACTTACTTACAGACTACAAAGTATTTATGCCATTAAAAAAAAATATCAAAAGCTTTTTCTTTTTTTACTCCAAACTTGATCACACAGCAAAACGCCTGAAGACATCAGAACCTGTAAATTAATTCAATCCTAAGGAATGAACTATGCTTGTGTAGAGGATAAGAAACACACTTGATGCTACTAAAATTAACATTCAAGTAGCATAGTACTAAACAGTTACCATCAAGATTAACATCGCCTTCCTGGATCCAGAAGAGTTGCACAATTTATTTTTCACTCTTACAGCCACCCAAGAGAACTCCAGGCACAGTATTCCTAGAACCATTACAATGGATTAAGTTCCCCCAGCTCATTCATACTCATTGCAGGGGACTTCTGCCATTACACAGGTAGCAATAGGGGTTTTTCAGCCAAGAAAACCTAGGAGCAGGCTGCCAAGTCACAGCTCTGCTCTTCCTTTGCATAGGTGTAGCAGCTACTAAGATCCAACTTACACTGGCATGGTAATGAGGAATAGCTACGAACAGCTTGATATCACCATGAGCTTGTGCATAACATCCTTTCCAAGGACCCTGCACTTACATGGCAGACAATGCTTTAGCCTGTCTCCATGTAGCATCTGTCAATGCTACTTCTTAAGCTTGCAATAGTGTTCGAGTATTTTTAGCCACAGTCAGTCCTCACTTAGGAGGTCCAGCTGTACTCCTGTGAAAGGAGACCCACTGATCCAGTACCCTGCAGAGTATTAGTCTCACAAATGTATTACAAACAGGTACAGGTACCTGGCAAGTCAGTAGTGTCTTAGCAGTCTGGAGTACTGTTGAAATAAATTCCAAGACACTTCATGTGCTGGCTGGAAGTACACTTCACTAAAGCTTCCAACTCAGGAGACACTCTAACTTCAGTGCTAATGTAATAACAGAGACCAATACTTTAACTGCTTCATTTTTTTATTTTTTTTCCCCCTTCTCCACATGTAAAATTTATGGTGATTTCTTAAAGAGCATTCGTACTTGTATCTCTCTAAGAGGTAAGAGACAAGATTGTTCCAAACATACATACAAAATTACTTATGTTTACAAATTTTTGGCAATCATAGTAACCCGTTTTTTCCTATTGCCATTGCCCAAATTATTGGAAAACACAGTGTACAATAATTTACATTTGAAATACTTCAAAGTGCTTGATAGTGATTTTCCAAGAACAGTATTTACAAGTGGCCTATACACATATGTACAGGTGTTACAAGTTGTGGCTGGAATATGGCTTTCTATGGAAAGTGCTCTATATTTGGTCAGTGGTGCTACTGACTGACCAATCCAAGGGTTACTGATAAAACAGTAACCACCAAAAACTGAATTGTTGTGGACAGGTATTTACAGAGTTTGTTGTTAAGCTATATAAAAGTTATTTACATAAGTGTTCCATACATAAAGTATCTTCTTTCTTCCAAGAATGGAGGAAGTCTTTCAGCCACAAACCTGGTTATTATCCCCAAAGAGTGTAAAACACAAGTAAACCAGAAGCAATTGCGGATCCAGTGCTCATGCCATGTCATCATCTGTGCTTACAACAGATATCTGTATAAAATAAGTACAAGTTAGCCACTAATAACAGGTACAAAATAATGCATATCACTACTACACTCCAGTTTGAAATGGGCTAGTTCTGCAGGCTAGTGACCACACTCAGCACTAATTACTTCATCTCAAGTAT